GCTGCATTGCCTCTGAAAGGGTGTAGTACCGTGGGTGTAGTACTGTGCCTTCCAATTATATCCGGTTGCAGAGCTTGCAGTTTAAGATGGTGGTTATAATTCTGATCTGTTTAATCAAAGACAGGGAGTTTACCTGGAGATACACATCTTCAGAAACTCAGAGGGTTTTCACAGTTTGCTGTCCCTGCTGCCTTTCCTTTTCCTTTCAAGATTCTGGATGAAATCATTGTTTCCACCTGTCTCATTCAGGTCAGTGCCAGTAAGTGTGGGCAGCATGTTGGACAGAATGTCAAACTGAACAAAAATTAGACATCTTTTTTCTCTGCTTCTTTTTTCCTGGACACTTCTTCATCCATGGTGATTCATAGGTGCAAGCAAATGACTGCAACAGCAAACTAGGAAAACCTAGCACTCTGGGAAGGAAAATAAGTTAAAAAAATATTTTAAAATTAAAAAAAAATCAGTTTACTCCAACCGATCCAACACAAAATTCTTCTGACCAATAATTCCAAAAGTCTGCAGAGAATAGCATGAAAATCAAGAATAGCCAAAAGCTACCTGGATACAAAACTAGATGGGGTAATATTCCTTAGGGAGGGGGAAAAAAAAAAACAGTGGGCAGTCAAGCCTACTCCTGCTGAGAGACCTTGCCCTGCTTCCAAATGATATAGAAGGGAAAGCTGCACCAGAAACTGAATGACCAGAAAATGAATCCAGAAACTGAAGGACAAGAAGCAGATGGAAAACAGTACTCACCAACTACTTCAGTAATCACCTGGTGAGGACATACTAAGTACCTGTCTCTAGATCAGGAAAAAAAAACACAACCACCAAACCTCCAGGCAACTAACAAGCCAGACAAGTCAGTTGAGAGAAGGAACTAAACCCACACTTTCTACAAGCTCCTTTTTTCCCTTTGGGCCTTATTTGTTCTACTACCACAGCCCTCTTTAAGAACTGTTTGATAAAAATGAAGGACCTGTGCAAAAGTTTCCCAAGAAATAAGCCCAGCCATGATACCCATAACTGTAGGGTAACACTGCAGCTCTCAGCCTGATTCTCCCTACCAGTTTCCCTGCATCTCCGCAGCATAGTAAGGTTTTGTGCTATGGTTCCATGAAAACACCATTCAGACTACCTGCAAAGGTCCCTAGAATTATATCACCGTACAAATAAAACCACCACTCTTAAAGTAACCATGAGACTTGGTGAACTGTGCTGGCAATGAAAAGATGTATGACACTGTGAGATCTATCTGTGACATCACATTCCAAGATCAATGCATTACATCGTTTCTGCAGCTGGCATCATAACATTTCACAAGTTTCATATTTGTCTGCTATTTTAGACATGATCCTAAAAAATTCTCAAATTATCACAACACTTCTTCAAAGGTAGTTCAGAAAACTGCTCCTTGCAGTAATTTGGTAAACATGCTTTAGGAATCACTGCTGAGCACCAGGCTGAACAATGTCCCAGAAATACTGGACAGGTTGCAACCAGTACGTGGATCCTTTCCAGAGAGTTCTTTATATTTGGCCCAAAGCTCTTTCACACAGCTCTCTGTTTCTTAAGACTGCCTCCTACTCCTACTCTTCATTGTTTAGCATAATGACTTCAGGTGTCTACGCTCACACCATCTTTGTGACACTGTAGCAATAGAGGAATGACTAGGAGCAGACAGCTTTTTGAACAAAGAACCTGAATTTTATGCTGAGTTTGGAAAAGGAAAAACATGGGAAGAAACAACCAGAAACAATTAAAAGAACCAAAGGTCATTTGTTTCCAAGGGTTGTGGGGTTTTTTTTTGAAACAGATTTACAAGAATACTTAACTGAGGTAGAAGACTTCATTTCAGAATATCACATTCTATTTTATTTAAAGAGCAACTTTATATGAAGTATTAAACATGCAAGTGACAACACACACACAAGATCACTTGCTTAGTCACAACCATGATGCTTGAAAGAGACAAAATCACAAATGCTATGTTTGAAAGAGACAAAATTCATAAAATACCATTTTGATAATGGACTTTAAATAGATACAATGTCAGAAAAAGTA